GCATGGGATAATGCTAGCTGCAATGAATGACGTATACATTTTATTAGTATTACCGATAGGTTAGCTTCCTTCAACTTGCCATAAACGCCATTGTTTATACCAATCATCACCGAGGCATTATCAGTACCAATTACAGCCAAATTCTTCAAGCCTAACTGTTTGCTGATTAAAAGGTCCTTCAGTTCCTAAACTATACTTTCTACATCACACTTTTCAAATTGAACTAGTCCAAGATTTTTTACAAAACGATCAAATGGTCACAGTTTGAAATTGTGCTGTGACAAATTAAAAACATTGCGACTAATACTTCAACTTTTGATGATTCATTTATAAGTATAGTTCTGAAAACAGATGTCAGTGGTGTACAATCTTTAAATGAAACTGCAGTTTTATGCTTTTTTAGTCTCTGCATGACTCTTTGAATTTTCTATTTTAGCTTTAATTTCACACTTGAAATACTTACAACAAGCTTTGGTCATATCCCAAGTTTTTAATTTTGTCATCATGCAACCACTCTTTCCAAAATTTTTTGCTCATACTTTACTTTTGGCATGTTGAAAGGTTTTTTTTTAAAGTGAAAGCCACATAAGAATGTGAGCAATTATTTTTTTTTAAATCACATGAAAAAGAAACGCAAAGTCAGCACAGTGAGGATACGGTTGAAACAAAGTTAGTATGATTTACGCGCGTTTTTATTCATCAGTACCGGGGCTGCCAGATATTTGTGCCTTGACCCCAGTGAGAGTTCAAAGTTCAAGTAATGGCAGATGTCACAATGTACGTGCCAGACCAAAACAAACATATTGTAGTAAATATTTAACACAGTAATTATTAAATTGACAATAAAAGAAAAAAAAATCTATAAAATATCTAACTCCATATGAAAAGAATCTAGAAAAATATTTATGATCTAAACGTCAAAAACAATATCTAAATGCAATGAAAAAGATGTAAATTTGGATATAAAAGATCCAAAGTGGCAACACTGCCTAGCTGTTGCACTGTTCATCTGTGTTAGTACCAAGTCAGTCCTTAGCCACACCGCCGCGAAACAAACAGTCCCGCATACTGAGCGACCTAAAAGGCCCCTAACAGGACAACTGTCACAATCTACTTGTTGTGCGCAGCCGTTAAATATGTAGAGGAGGTAACCTGCCAAGTATTCATTCATTCATTCAGTAGCATGTCCCTCGCGGAACCTCGCTGCCATAACAACCCTCCAGAAAACCTTCCTATCCTGAGCAAGATGTCCTGCGTCTGATACACCCATCTGGAGATCATCTGCCACATCCTGCACCCATCTTCTCCTTGGCCTTCCTCTTCCTCTCTTCCCAGGCATATACCCCTGCATTATTGTTCTCTCTAGACTTCCATGACGTTTCAAGTGACCAAAATATTTCAATTTTCTTTGTTTTATTGTCTTTACTAGCCAACCCTCTTCAATATTCAGCTCTTGAAGTATGGATGCATTTGTTCTTTTCTTTACCCAAGATATTCTTAGAACCTGTCTGTAACATTTATATTCAAATGCATTTATGCGCTGTTCCGCTTGTTTAGTAAGTGTCCAGGTCTCACAGGCGTATGTTGCAATGGGAAAGATGCATGCTCTTAAAAATCTGACCCTTGTAGTTCTATCTGTACAATTCCATAATTTATTCAGTTGTTTTAGTCTTTGAAGAGCAATTGATAGTCGCCGTTTAATTTCTTTCATTGTGTCACCATTGTTACCTGCCAAGTAACTTGCCATAAATATAACGTTCGGTACTATTCTTTTAGTTAACCCCTCTAGGGGACTCCAAAACTTAATGGGGAATTTCTGGGAAAGTCCAATAAAATTGGAGGGGTGGGGGGTGGGGGGGGGTTAGAGTTAGTGGGCGTTAATTTCACACCCTAACACCCCTTCATTATAAGACCTCCATGAGTACTCCCCACGAAGTCTCGGATTCTCCAAAATGGGGTGAACTTCATTCCTGTGATTGCTTTTTTGTAGGAGCTCTGGCCCATTGGTTTGCCCTGGGCCTGTGATGGCTGAAGACTGCTCTGATAGTGGTATCTCGCCCGATGTCTTGATACATTTGAGAAATTGTGCATTATTATTTTAAATTTGCTCATTATACATTGGATCCAGTCAGTGCTGCTGTAGGAATAGTGATGGCAGTTATGCTTTTAGTCATGAACTTTCCAAGCCTTGTTAAAGAAGAACATCATGAACAAATGGAGGGGCCGCGGTAGCGCAGTCGATATGAGACTAGCTTTCAAAACCCAGCTGTGACTCGCTGTAGCCCATGACCGGTGTTTGAAACCGGGCGTTTCCCGGGGTTCACCTGGCCTCTAGGAAATGGGTACCAGAGTTGACACTCTGGGGTAAATTGAGGAACGTCGCTGTAGCTACGGAGTTACGTGTGGACGGCGACACAGGCGGACAATTTTTTATGAACTGTCCGTACTGGTGACAGAGCATTTATGGTTTATAACTGTGTGCAATGACGCTGGCCCAGTTCTCCCGACTTTACCTTTTATTATAAACAAAAAAAAAATGAAGAGGAGAGAGAGAGAAAGAGAGAGAGAGAGAGAGAGAGAGAGAGAGAGAGAGAGAGAGAGAGAGAGAGAGAGAGAGAGAGAGAGAGAGAGAGAGAGAGAGAGAACTAACAGTACAAGATCAACCGCCTAATGCCGACGAAACACCAGAACAATCGTGGTTCACAATTTCAAAAGAAAAAAGTTGGAGATGAAAGTCACTTCCCATTAGTATCAGAATTGAATCCTTGGTCTTTTGTCACCTCTTTCATTTGCAGCTGCAGAAAGAGTTTTCTCTTTCTGCTCACATAATTATGATATGAGGGAGGGGGGCACTTCAACAATATATGCATTGATAAGATCAAAGTTATTGCTCCAGGACATTAACTGCACCAGCTAGAAGCCGCTACAACAGTTTTGTTGCAAACTAAACGGGGGGGTGGGGGGGGGGGTGGGGGTGGGAGGGGGAATGTGGGGTGGGGGGTGGGAAGGGGGATGTACAGCAATAATAACACATACACTCTAAACGAAGCACTGACAAACTGTTAGTCTAGGTTAGGGCAGACCAGGTCCGGCTAAATATAAGTACTTACAACTAACTCACGGTACATTTTGGCTCCCTTCGAAAATTGGTAACTGGAAGCGTTTCCATGTTGCATTGTGTGACATTTTAACGTGCTTACAAAGTTCTGTGTTCTGAATGTATTCGTTTTACAAATCTTTAAGCGGATATTGTGAAGTATATATGCAAGATTTTCAAACTTTGCTGTTAAATAACAACAATTTGAATTTAAATTCACGGCAGACAGTCGTTTTGTGATGTGTGTGTCACTGTTTCTAGTCAGTAGTTTGGATTTTTGGGAACTGGCTGTTTATTCTTTTTCTACTTTGAATGTAGAAATCTTACTTTTGGGTAAAATACAAATAGGTAATTTAGAAACCGTATCTGGAGAATATCGACAGTTGTCAGGTGCAAACTATCTTGTGCTGGAAGAAAACTATTGCTTTAATATTGACTGTGCATAAATGGTGCAACCACACTGTGGATAAACTGTGTCAAGATATTCCGGAGCTCTAGGTAAGTGCATAAAAACAAAATTTTTTTTTTACTTACGTCTCACAGCAAGTCACTCTTTGCTTCTTTACTAACTGTTGCCTAAAAGTATAATTATATGTTGTAGAAGTACACTAATAATATTCTTATTTTTGTGAATTTTCTGCTTCGCGAGCACTGGCTGTAAACTCTGGCAGAAACTTCTGGTTGTTCATCTACTTATTATGCATATTAGCAATTGTACGGTCTGTGTTCATTTTTGTGAATCTAATTCTGGACTTTAGTCTTGTGTATGTTTTACAGCAGTATTTTTATGTGCTCAATTTGATAAAGTACAAATGTAACCCCCACACCCACCCCCTGCCCGGCTCCTCTGATGCAACAATACCCTCTTAGAATCAAAGAGTTAGCACTGATATTTCTTTACTTTTGCTGGAATAGCTTTCATTTTATTTCTACACGTTATTGATGTTTATGTTCATGTTGACTGTAGCAAAAGCATTTTTGTTTGTCTGTAAAAGCCTTTTTGTTTATATTTAAATAGCACACATATTTACCTTAAAAATGACGTATAGTTCTATAAAATATGTCGAAAATTAATGAAACTGTAGTTTAATTTGTGTATACATTTCCTCGATAAAAACTGTTAACACAGAGGGACTCCATTCTTGCACAAGAACGGGAATCCCCGTTGACCCATAATTAGAGAAGGCCGTGGACAGACGCGGTGTGTGTGTGTATTATGATGTATATATGTATATATATATATATATATATATATGTTTATATATATATATATATATATATATATATATATACATATATATATATATATATATACCGCGTCTGCCCTAACCTAGAAAAACAGTGTTGTCAGTGCTTCGTTTAGAGTGCATGTGTTATTAAAGAAAAAAAAAATTTGTTTCATAACTAGAGATTAGACACAAATATTAGAGTCAGAAAAACTGTCTGTGATAGAAAATCTGCGTATCGGAAGGTCATGGGTTGGCGTCCTGACAGAGCAAGACTTTTTTTCAAAAATGTTGGCTGTTAGTACCAGGTACAATCCTCTGGGAAGTAAATGCGGCCGGCGTGATACTGACCACATCTTATCCAGTGCCGATTTGTCACTAAGACCTATATAAAAAGTAGCCCTCGCCCTATATGCCCCTTTACGCGTGAAGGCGTGGGAAAGGGTCCTTTTTTCACTTTACTGTAAATATATATGTGTGTGTGTTTTACATACGATATAACTATGCAGTGTTTTTTTTTTTTAGACTTTAAAATTAACAGTTTAGTACCATTTGGTGTGTTTTGGTACCTTTTCAAAAATTATTTAGTACTATTCCCAAAATATTTTCGGCAGCCCTGGGATCCGATAAACCAATGCGCTGGAGAGAGGACCGTAAACACAACACACCACTGTAGAATGTACACACTGTCTAAAGGCCCAAACAACAAATTATCAATGAGCGCCCGACGAGGTGAGTCAACACACTTCTGCTTTTACACAACTTCTAGACCATAAATAACTAAGTGGCGTCGGCTAGGCTACCAAGAAATGAAATGCTCTTAAAGAATGCGTTTTATTTGTCTTTAGGGCCGCCGAGACAGCTTGAATTCGAAGGTTACTACACCAGAGAGAAGTCGACGAACTCAAACGGGGAAGGGTACTTTTACGATCATCAAACTGCAGATATGAGGTAAGGTTTTCGTGATTTAGTGCATTATCTAGTATTTTGTTGTTTTTGTGATGTTAAACGATTAACTGTAAGTCAGGATGGTGTTTTCTATGCTTGTTTGTTTCTTTGTGGTAGACAAAATGTCGTCGTCCATGGCTGCGTTTTTTCTTTAGTAGATTTGATATTGTCAGATGGGCTGTTTGAAATGTTGTCTTGGTATTTTCAGCAGAAAGGCAGAAATATACTATTCTTATTCTGATAGGGATATATATTGTAACCTAACCAGTATGAATAGCAAAAAACATATATGTAAATTAAAGGTGGGAGAGTGCACACACTTAATTATTTTTTATAATTTCCTGGTACACTTGACTTTTTTGTACTTAAAAAAATATTTGAAGATAAGGAGTGATTTGAGAAACTACCTGTCTGTCTGTCAGCCTGCCTGCCTGCCTGTCTGTCATATCATTTTAAGAAAATATTACTGTAGCTAAGTAATAAGATTAGTGATTAGTGAAAACTTACAGGAAAGCTGTTGAGATGTGGTTTTATGGACAAATGATGAGATTAAGAATACCTTGTTTTGTAGAGATAAAAAGAGTAATGAAGATGCCTTGAAAGAAACTGACTCATTAAGAGAACTGTTTGCCCAAATCAGAAAGAGACTGTCTTTGATCATGTGATGAAAAGGAGAAAACTGGACTACAACGTGACAGTAGGACAGTTCTAGGGGAGAAGAGTCAGAGGGAGACTGACATCAAAGATGTTGGATTGATTGACATCATGGTGTAGAGTAGAGGATCATCTGTGTCAGAGTTGACTGAAAGTACACAAGACAGAAGGTTGTGGATAGACATGACTACAAATGCCACACGGCATGGACTTTATAAAGAAGAAGTAATAAGTATTTGTTAGACTGCAAATAAACAGAGAACTGTATTAGTCCTATGGGATTCTTCTGAAACAATGGCTTTTCGGGGCTCAGCTAAGCAGCAAGAGGATGTCACTTTGCAGTCATGACCTAAATGAGTCCCCTTTCTGGACTGGAAGATTGTTAAAAAGAAAAAAGAGGAGGAAGACGAAATATTTACTTAAAAATAAAAAAAGTGGGATGTGTGGGTGATGCTAGGGGGTGGGTGTGATCTGGTGTGGGGATAAAAAGTTTGCTGTTGTGTGTGCTCTATTTTGGTTGCTGACAGCACATCATGGTAGTAATTGTTAGTTGGTTAGTTGAAATATTATCCTTATCACATGTCGGACCATTCAGTTCATAAATGCTTGAATCCTCTCCTCAGTAAATCCCGCGGTGGGTAGCAGCTGATGGCACCATTTCTGTGTTGTTTTCTCATTCGTCTTTGGCTTCCTGCATTGTGCTCTTTTCTGGCCACACCGCTTTTAGCTTGCTGTTCTTGCAGTCAGGTCATTTTTGTAGATTAACAGTCATCACTTAGTCTTACTTCTTGTAGAGCATTCAGTATATCGGCATGGCCCATAACTCAGACGTTTTTCATAGTGGCCTTACCTGGTAGTACTTGTTACAGATAGATGGCTTCATAGATCGTTAAATAGTTCTATGACTCATCTCCCCTTTGACAGTAGCCTTAGTTGGTAGTACTTGTTACAGATAGACACTTCTATAGATGGCTCATCTCCCCTTTCACAGTAGCCTTAATTGGTATTACTTGTTACAAATAGACACATCTATAGATGGCTCATCTCCCCTTTGACAGTTGCCTTACCTGGTAGTATTTGTTACAAATAGACACTTCTATAGATGGCTCATCTCCCCTTTGACAGTTGCCTTAACTGGTATTACTTGTTACAAATAGACACTTTTATAGATGGCTTATCTCCCCTTTGACAGTTGCCTTAACTGGTATTACTTGTTACAAATAGACACTTCTATAGATGGCTCATCTCCCCTTTGACAGTTGCCTTACCTGGTAGTACTTGTTACAGATAGATGGTTTTCTGTGTTCCTGGGGCCCCATTGTGGGGACAACAAGAATAGACCCACTGCTTCCTCAGCAAGCATGTTGTAGGAGTCAACTAGCATAGGGGTTCCTTCAAAGTCGGAGTGCATCTGCGTGAGAGGCAAGGAACCAACAATCTGCGATATATACTTGCACTGCCTACTATTGCAGATAGGCTCAAAGCTCTGCAAGCAAAGTCCTATTTTAGTGGACAAGAGGCACTTCCTGGATGAAGCCCTGGATGGAGCTAAGGATCACAGACTGAAAAGAGGAAAGTCTTGGATGGCGCAAGCTGAAGACACAATTGGACATGTGTGCAGGCTTGATAAATTAGACGAGTAGAGGAGTGGGTCACAGTGTCTGATCAGGTTTCAGACTTGTGTAGGGTTTTAATCACTTTTGGACGTAAGTGCAGGGACTGGCCAGCTGGTGCTGCAGAATCAGAAGTTCAACAAATGATTCATGAAAATTCCCGTCCAGGTGATGTGTTTATACAGATGACTGTGTTGAGGGACAGCTTAAGTGCATGGGGGTTTATAGCGAAGACGAATGGACATCGCTTGGTGCAACAAAGCCTGGCATATGATATCACAACTTCTAGTTTGAGAATGGAGGTGGAGGCAATCACTGCTGCCTTCCGCTGGCTTGGGAATCAGCTGTACACATATGCCGTCATTGTAACTGACTCACAGAGCATGTTGAGAAAGGTGGAGACAGGCATGCTCCATGCAGAGTGGCAAGCATCATTTCAAAAGTCCCGGGTAGTTAGCATCCTTTGGATATTTTCTCCAGGTCATGTCGGTGTGTTGGGAAATGAGCAGGCAGATAGACTGGCCAGTTCTGCACCACTTGGTAGTGAACTATGTATGACAAGCTGGAGGGCCCTTTGGGAGCGAGTGAACAGTGCCAAGGCACAAATAGATCACTACGGTTGGAGGATAATGGCACTGTGAGGAGTTACAAGGGGATCTGGCCGACGCTCAATACTCAGGGGAAAAGCGAGAGGGATATACAATCAGACAGTTACTGGTACCATCAGAATTTTAACTCTTCGCTTGCTGCTGAAGATGGGGACGGAGTTCTTATGGGAGTGTTCCGAGTGCTGTGATGTCGATTCTTAATTCAACATATATATATATATATAATATATATATATATATATATATATATATATATATATATATATATATATATATATAGATTATATATATATATGATATATATATATATATAGATTTATATATGTATGTATATATTATATAGATATATTATATTATATATATATATATATATATATATATATATATATATATATATATATATATATATATATATATATATATATATATATATATATATATAGGATAGTCTACCCTTCCACATGGCTGAGCTCTTCAGCCATCAAACAAAGTGTTAGATTACCGGGGTGGGCGATAACACTGCTACTCTCTCTCAAGTTTTCCAGATGAGAATTCTACAGACACCAGTCAACTTGAGTTGATTCTGTTCTTGTTGGTTTCAGTAATCCAAAACCAACATTCCAGTCCAAGAAGCCAGTGAATAAATGGAGATTGTCACAGTACAGCCAAAATCCAGCCTTACATGAAAACCACTTGGAAATGGCAAATTTATTATGTAAACGTAGGTACTTTTTGTATGATGTGAGTTATCTGGGTTAGCCTTGCCAGTTAGTTTCATGAGGCATTTGTAGTCTCATACATGTGGGGACTTTGTCATCCCCTGATCCACAGGTGTTGTCCCTAGAGGACCTGTAAAGGCCGGCAACATGCAGATTGATCAACCCTCAACGCAAGGCAGGGTCAGAGCATGGGCATTCCCCACCATTCAAGTGCAGAACCAATGCATTGTGCCCTCGTACTGGGTTCACCCAAGGCGTTGTCGCAGCCTGCACATGACTGTTCAACCTCACCACATCCATATATTGAGCCTTCCATTCATTATAGACTGTCTTTTTAGGGATCCCCAGAAGCAGTCTGCAGAGCTGAGACTTTGATTCCCTATACAGATAGACATCTCCTCAGCATGTTACACTTGTCTCTTTGACAGTGGCATCTTTCATGTGGATTCCTTAAGGCACCTTTTGCAGTGTTCATGGTAAACATGCATTAGGCATGGCTTCCCTTTAAGGTCATTAGACTCAGACGAGTATGGTCATTTATAGTGCTATCATACAGAAAGACACTTGAGGGACAGACATTTGAATCTTAGCAGCCAAATGGAAGGAATCTTATTTGACAGATGTTTGAAGCAAGTCATATAGTATGATTTTCAGATAACAGACATTTGAATCTGAGTTTGTCATTTAGTAGGTACACAGACAGGGGACTTCACTCATGTTCCAAATGAGTTTTCTATGTATATTATCACCTATGCACATGACTGACATGTGGCAAAGACTTTTTGGGCACTGCATCTCTTGGGGCCACCAGCTCTGAGATCCCCTGCCAACTCAGTTTAGGCTGATAGTGGTAATTATCCTTAGGACACGATGAGGACATGTGGCAGGGGTATTACATGAGAATTGAAAAAAAAAAAAAACAAGCATAGAGCCTTCGTTGAGCTATGGAATGTCCACAAATACTCTTAATTTATACTTGAGACTAAAAATTGTTCATGGCTTTTAGTATCAACATCAGTGACTAGTTGATGTTGCTAAACGGTCCAGTTGTAACAACTGGAAATCACTGAGACGAAGTAGAAGCTATGCTGCTTGTAAGTTTTTTCTATTTTTTTTATTAGTGACTAGCTTTTTGAGTATTATTGAAATGCTTATCGTTCAATGTTTGTAAATATATTTTTGTTACTTTTGGTCTGTTAGAATGGAAGAAAGTCATGGATCGCTGTCAGAAAGGCAGTGTTGAAGGCAAGTATTTATTCTTTTCATAACATAATTGCTTTCTCAAAACAAATTTTCTAAAAGTCACAGAGAAATACAAGTGTGTAAACAAATAGAAAAATATATTTTAAGTTTATCATTTACTGTAATAAAAAGAGTCTTACCTCGAATCTTTGGACCCATCAAAGATGCAAATAGCTGTGAATGGAGAGTGAGAAGCAACAACGAAATTCATAATCTGTTTAAATCACCACTAATCACTGGCATCATGAGAGCTAATAGACTGAAATGGTTAGGGCATATTGAAAAAATGTAAGATGACAGAGAAGTAAAAACTATACACGAGGGAGATGAATGGCCGTAGTTCACGAGGCAGACCAAGAAGACAACGGAGAGATAATATCCAAACAGACCTGCAAACACTTGGTGTCGTCAACTGAAAAGGGAAGACCAACCAGAGAGATGAATGGAGGCGGGTAATATCTGCAGCAATGAACCTCAAGGGCTTGGAATGCTGAAGACCAACCAGAGAGATGAATGGAGGCGGGTAATATCTGCAGCAATGAACCTCAAGGGCTTGGAATGCTGAAGACCAACCAGAGAGATGAATGGAGGCGGGTATATATCTGCAGCAATGAACCTCAAGGGGCTTGGAATGCTGAAGACCAACCAGAGAGATGAATGGAGGCGGGTAATATCTGCAGCAATGAACCTCAAGGGCTTGGAATGCTGAAGACCAACCAGAGAGATGAATGGAGGCGGGTAATATCTGCAGCAATGAACCTCAAGGGCTTGGAATGCTGAAGACCAACCAGAGAGATGAATGGAGGCGGGTAATATCTGCAGCAATGAACCTCAAGGGCTTGGAATGCTGAAGACCAACCAGAGAGATGAATGGAGGCGGGTAATATCTGCAGCAATGAACCTCAAGGGCTTGGAATGCTGAAGACCAACCAGAGAGATGAATGGAGGCGGGTAATATCTGCAGCAATGAACCTCAAGGGCTTGGAATGCTGAAGAAGAAGAAGATTTACTTAATAGCAGCCAGTGATTTCACTGAAAGATTTTTGCCAGTGTATTTTACTCTTAAAGTACTGAGGGTTTTTTTCTCTTTAAAGCACATAATTATCTGCTCATTCTGTTTCCAAATGTTCATTGTTAGATTTTAAAAATTAATCTTAAGTGTAGTCAAGAGACTTTAAAAATATTAACCAGGGCCAAAAAAATGCAACAAAAGTATTTACAGACCACAAGTACTGGTCATGTCACAAAGTAGTCTGGGCAAACCTAAGATGTGTCCATCAACCTCAGGAGATAATATAAGGTGTAAGTGCTCATCACTTTGCTAGCAGCTGGACTTAAACACATTTGATACTTCCCTTCATACATCCTTCCTTGCATGAGCCACAACAATTCACACTCAAGCATTCCCCAAATTTGTTTTGGGGCCCTATTGTGGGGAAAACAAGAATGGACTCACTGTCTACCTAAAAGCATGCCATAAGAGTCGACTAATTTGGAACTTCCTTTGAAGTCAAAGTTTATGCACCTTAGAGCTGAAGAACCAACAGTCTGCTAGACTAAAACACATTTGATTCTTCCCTTCATACACCTTTCCTCGCTTGAGCCACACAAATTCAAACTCAGCATTCCCCCTATAGGTGGGGAAAACAAGAATGGACCCACTGTCTACCTAAAAAAAGCATGCTGTAAGAGTCCACTAATTTGGAACTTTCTTCGAAGTCAGAGTTTGTCCGCCTGAGAAGCAAAGAATCAAAAGTCTGCATACAGATGTGTCAAATCTGTAAAACTGATGTGCATGCAACATTCAGGTTCTGGAACAGGCTACAGAGTCAAGATGGGGACGAACAACCAGAACCTTCTGCTAGAGTTTACAGCCGGTGAAGGCGATGAAGAAGAAACTCAAGCATGTGTTTCAGTTAATCTACATGCAGGTGTTTTATTGATGACATAAGCTGAGCAGATATTTTAAAAAAAAATTGATCCTGGCTTCCAGGTCGGCCTAGCCTAAAATCGGTACCAGATAATCTCCTTGGAAGTAAAGGCAGCCGATGTGATGTTGACTGCATCACCCGCAAGTGCCAAAAGAGAAATAAAAATATGTGTCTAACATCATATGCTAATGTGTCAGTTTAAAAAAAAATGGTTTCTGACTTTACTATTATATGCTGAGCTAGATTTTTAAATACATATTTAACTTGTTCGCTCATTCAGCCCTTGTCTTTTACTCCCTCCACCAATATCTTTCTTATGTAATGTCTCTTTTACTCCCTCCACCAATATCTTTCTTATGTAATGTCTCTTTTACTCCCTCCACCAATATCTTTCTTATCCAGCCTCTTGACTTGTAGCCTACTATTCTCATGTATCTTCAAATTTAATAAAAATTTGCCTGTAGTGTGAGCTTCCTTTTAAAGTAAATATCAGAGTAATGAATTTTAAAAATTCACGTAATATTATCTTGTTTTTTGTTGTTGTTGCAGATATGACATATGTGTTTTATTCAGAAAGTGAACCAAACAAAAGTCTTTCTGGTAAGTACCTTACTACAAGATGTGATTTCTTTAATGTGGATCAGCTTGGAAACTTGATTGAAATTAATAGTCGTTTCTTCTTCTTCAGCATTTCAAGCCCTTCAGGTTCATTTCTGCAGGTGTGACCTGTTTCCATTCATCTCTGTGATTGGCCATTGGTGACTCAAAATATCTTTAGGTCAACCTGTAAACTACATCTCTCATTTTGGTCTGGTATATCAGAATATCTTGTGGTTTACTCGCATTCAACTCTTCTCTTTGATAATCATTTATAATGATATAATCTACCTGATGATGAAGGACCAGAGAACAATGTATTCTAATTTCAGTAAACCACATATCCTTACTGTGCACCTAAATAGACTGAGACCACAACACACAGTAAATGTTATAAAATAACAAATAAATGGACACAACAACAAAATACATAGTCATCTTTTTAAAAAGATGTTGTATTGTTGAGTGTGAACAGAAGGTGCTTACAGACCTGTATGATGGTTTGAAAGCAGTTATTAGAATAGTTGGTTAACATTGTGAATGCAGAGATGAATGTTGTCAAGTTGGTTTCGAAACTGGTTTTGAAACTGGTATCAAGGACCGGATGTTCAGTAACAATGGCAAACTATTAAATGTAAATTTACCTAGAAAGACAGCAGCAGCCAAAAAATGCTGGGGTTGGTTCTGCAACGTTATACACAAATAATTGTAACACTTGTAAGCCACACAGAATTGTAACACTTGTAAGCCACACAGAATTGTAACACTTGTAAGCCACACAGAATTGTAACACTTGTAAGCCACACAGAATTGTAACACTTGTAAGCCACACAGAATTGTAACACTTGTAAGCCACACAGAATTGTAACACTTGTAAGCCACACAGATAAAAGTAGAAAGTTACTACCTGATAATTCATATCCATAGACAAATTAAAATTGTTAACTGTGTGCTGTAATTGAGCTTTGTTTAGTTTCTGCAGTGTTATGTGACTCTGATTAAGACATTTTAATATTAGTAGCATTATTTTGAAACCGGTTCATGTCACAGTGTATGTACTTGCGTGTGCTGAAAATGATCTTGTCAAAGTGATGAGATAATTACTGACTAGTGAATACAAGAGCATGTGCTTATCATTTCACTTTTGCATGGGTTCTGTTTCTGACAGTTGAGAAAATAGCTGGGTAGATCCAAGATCCATCCAGAGATGCTGATAGAGCGGTGATTTGGTTTCTTGTATTTGAAGGATGTTGACTGTCGACATTGACATTCATAGAAAGAATTAAGGCAGCGTATGTGAAAATGAAGGACATGAGTTTATGACAAATCTTTTTCTAGTTTTTCTTTCGTGCTTTTGTAATGGAACCATTGGAACGATTTTCAGATTAATGCTCCTCATATATTACGATTTAGATGACAATGCATTGAACAAAACCTCTCAGTAAGCACATGACAGTATTCTGTGAGTTTTATTTCAGGTCATTATCAGTGAAGCCCTACATTATTTGCCTTTCTATCATTTTGGGTAGCTTCAAGGAGTTGGAGAAAGAACTAGTTTGAATTTGTTAGCCTGACTACAAAGAACACAGTATTGATATTCTTCAACTGTTGCAGATGTTTAGAGATGGAGAGAGACATCCCACAACGTGGACTTTAACAAGATGTTTTCTTATCTGAAAATTGTGAAACATTTTGGGTGGGGGATGGGAGGCGTTATATTTACACATGGCTCAGGTCAGAGTATTCTGATTTCAAGGTTGTTATGTGGCGTTGTTAAGCCTTTTCCAATATTCTTTTGCTTTATTGTTTCTTATGGTGTAGCGGCTAGACGCTAGCCTGCGGATCCAAAGGTTGTGAGTTCAGGTCCTGGCAGAACCATATCCCCCCCACCCCCTATGACCTTGGCTCCCAGGTCACCCCAGCCTTAAATGGGTACAGGAAAAGTTATGGGAAGTAAAGGCGGCTGATGTGATGTTGACCACATCACCCACTGAGTACCGATTGGTCTGTAAGATATAGGTCTAGCCCTGTATGCTCAAAATACACGAAGGCATGGAGAATTATCCTTTACTTTTACTGTTATTTCTTGTATATTGTGATTCCTTCTACAGTGTTGTTTTGAAAAGTTTATATTTTATTCATGGGAAAAGGAAAGCCATGGTAGTGTAGTGGTTAGATTTTCACCTGTGGCCTGAAAGTCTTAGGTTCGACAGGAAGATTCACCTTCAGATATGTAACAAGTAATATCATGGGATGCAATGGTGGCTGGCGTGATGTTTACTACATCGCTCTCTGAATCTGATTGGTCTAGAAATGTTCATCTAGCATCATACGCCCAATGAATCACTGGCATTGAAAAAAAAGGTCCCTGACTTACTTTACTTTTACAAGGAAGAAGTACTCATGGCTAGTTAGAGTAACTCTTACTTAACTCTTTCGGCCTCAGAGGATTGTGCAGCAGATGCCAAATTGGCACAGATAAACACAATGTTTTTAAAAAAAGGATAACATCTCACTTTCACATAGGGCCATGCTGTGCTATGATACAGAGAGGGGCACCGTAAGGGGGCAGCAAAATCAAAATACAATCTGAATTTTTAATCTGACAGTGTGAAGCTATTAGGGACAGCATTTTGATTTAAAAGACTTGCATTATACTGAGAAAATCTACCGTATGGGACTGCTTTCACATAAAGTGAAGCTATTCGGGACAGAATTTTGATTTAGAAGACTTGCATCATACTGAGAAAATCTACCGTATGGGACTGCTTTCACATAAATAACATAAATTGCCTCGTGATAAAATATTAAGTCAGATTGTTTCAGTTTGCCTGTGCTAAACATAAAGAATATAGAAAATGCTCTATGGTGTGCTTGATGTACAGAAATAAGCTGATCATGCATGACGCTTTGCTTGGGAGAGACAGATTAAATCTGAGATGGAGAAATGGAGTAAATGAGATTATTTGCACTATTCATCAAGATGGTGCAAAAATATTCGGAATGTTGGTATGAGTGCAAAGAAACAAATTATAAGCTGCATATTCATACCAACATTGTGCTACCGGTGCCAGGCTTGGACATTGTCAAAGGCTAACGTTAAGAAGAAGAATAAGAAGACTGTTAGGTGATTTATATTTTAAGGGCGTGTATATTGAGAAGGATTTTAGTGTTGTGTTTGTTCACTTTCTTATTGGGAACCAGACAACCAAACATTTTATGAGAAGTAATTGTCATATTACTGGATTTTAAATCTTCTAAAACTGCAAGCCTACAGTATCAGTCAGTTTAATAAAATATTTCTGCACACATACATTGGAAATTTGTAATTCCTGTTATCTGTTTTTGTTTTTTTGATATGCGTTGAATATTTGTGCCCACTCTGCAGTGGAGGTAACACATAGTGTCTTCAGTACCACCCAGGCTTTATGCTTGTGGAGAGGTACTGGGAGGGGGCCGGAATCATGAATGGAATTGAGAATTTATGGACAAAACGTTACAGAAGGGATGAGGCTGAGCGTACTTTGAGCAGACCACCCCTCCCCTATAGTCCCTCTCATCAGGAAGCAAAGGTGCCAACAAGCTTTTCCACTGTTGAGAGAAGTTTTGCCATTAGTATAATCCATTTCTACATTTTATGTTTTCTTCTTTGTTTATCAGTTGCCCCTAGTTCAACCAAAAATGGCAAGTTTACAATTGGGGTATTTGATAGGGTTTCTTACTCATCTTTTATGCGAGTTTTGGTGAGTTTCTGCTCTGGTTCCTCTGGTGTCTAGGAGTTGTGGTCTTGAAGCCTGGTCATCAGAGTGATCAACTACATGCTTCTGTTTTTTCTGTGGGCTTTTTGCTGGTAAGGTCCTGACAAGAACTAGGCCGGCCTAGCTTGTATCTTTTTGTTCTTTATTTGGTTTTACACTGGTTTGTGTTGTTAAAGGGTGTCTTTTTGTTGTTGATAAAGGGTGTCTTTTTGTTGTTGATATGAGGTGTTGTTTTTTTTTCTCCAAGGAGACTATTTCTTTCTGCAGACTGAACACAAATCGGTTGTCCTTGCCAGCTTGGCAAGTCTGAAACATTCTCGTCACTATCAGTGGAGTTTTCTTCTGGTGGAATATAATTTTGTTGTTTCCTCCATTGCAGGTGTGAACAATCAGGTTGCTGATCGTCTGTCCAGGACAAGATAATCTAAATTTTTTTAATGCCTGATATTTACTGCATGGCATTTCATGTCACATTGATGTTATATGTACTGTGTGTGGATGGATAAAGCAAACATGGTTAGTGATGTGGAAATATACAAAGCGTCTTCTTCTTTGCGTTCACCGGCTGTAAACTCCAACGAAAAGTTATGGTTATTTGTCCACTTCTGGACTCTAGTCCAGTCTCAGAACTTGAGTGTTGTGTGCACATCCTTTTTACAGATCTGACTCATTTGTTTGCAGACTGTTGGTTTCCTAGCCTTCGAAGCAGTTGCACTCCGATGTAAAAGAAAGCTCCCAGTTAGTCAACTCTTGTAGTATGCTTTTGGGTTGGCAGTGGGTCTATTCTTGTTTTTCCCACAATGGGGCCCCAGAACCCACACATGGAAAACATACATATAAACCCTACATTATACTTTCCCAGGCATAACATTGGGAGAGTTAATAGATATAGTTAACATATAAAAAAAAAACCTTGTCATCCTTTGATGAGTGATAATGCTGCAGGCTGTGTATACATACATATAAACCCTACATTATACTTTCCCAGGCATAACATTGGGAGAGCTAATAGAGATAGCTAACATATGAAAAAAACCATAAACCTTGTCATCCTTTGATGAGTGATAATGCTGCAGGCTGTGTATACATACACAAATGATTGTGAAAGTGTTGAGAGTGAATTGAAATTGTTTTGCAGAAAACTATGACTGCATGAAAGCATGTTAAGAACAGCACATTTTGAAAGTATTTAGATTGAATTGGCAAGGATTGATTTGAAGTGATAACCATTTGCTAGACTGAAGCTGGTATGTCAAGAAATGTGAGTGTGTGACAGTAGTTACCATATTTTTCCGTGAAAAAGACATTAAAAATTTTTTTAAGTTTAAGAATGGGAGGTTATCTTATACATGGAATATGTTGAAAATATTTATTTCTTAATTTTTGGCTAAAATGGTTGTCACTTTTAGGGGCGTGTTGTATGCAGGAAAAAACAGTATATTTTAATGAATAGTCTCATTGTTGTAAAACTGAAAAATTAGTATCTGGTGATGGATGTCCATGGAAATTCATAAATAAAATGTGTGCAGTAATTCAGAGTTGTGGATTTTCTTCTGTGTTGTGTGAACCTGCAGTGAAGGAAATGTTAGACAAAGTTGATATCTCACTTAAGTAAAACAAAAACATTAGTTGCATATCTTTTTCATGACTTTGCAAACCAACCCCAATGTTTATTGGCTGTTGCATGGGTTTTACTAGAGAAATTTAACTTTCAGTAGTGTACCATTACTTTTAGATCAGTCTGGTAGTCTGATAGTCTTAGTTTCAGCTTCATAACAAACGGATCACCCCATCTTTGCTCCGCTCCTGTGCCAACGAAAAACACACAGAATGTTTATCACAGTCCCTTGTGGAAAGATTGACAGACTGTTATCTCAGCGTATCTAGCATCCACATGCATTAAAGCATACGGTAACCATCCGAGGTGCTAACACAAACAATCCGACATTAGAAATGCAGTTCATTACTGATGGTAGCGGAAGTCACCAACAGATCAGCAGTTGCCCACGTGATAAATTTTAATCACATACGAGCACCACCAACATTGCGACGACAGGCATCGCGCCATTTTTTAAAATCTACAATTCACACCACCACGTTGGTCACAGTCAAAGAAACATTCCAAATGAAATCTGCAGCTCACAGTGTCACGCCATGCATTCAACTCAGAAGCTGGGCTGAGAAACTATATCCAGTCTACAAATGGAGCAAAAATGCATCGGCCACCATCCGGCAGAAGCAAAAAAATTTGCCTCGCCCCCAAACAGTGCCCCTGCCTAGCTCCCATTTCGACCGGAAGTTCCTGATTCTTGATCAGTATTACCCCGAGGGGGCTGCGTGGTCTTGAGGCATGACGTCCGCCTCGAGTGCTAGAGGTTCTGAGTTCAATCCCTGGTAAGGGCTGGGATTTTTCAATGTGGACTTGGACTTCTAATAATTCCCCCTGGTCTCTGGGTAGTGAGATTGAACGTCCGTGTGCATTGTTGTGCACATAAACAATTCCTTGGCAGTTAGAAATCGAAAAGAGTAGCCTAATGGTGCTGCCCAGGCAAAAATTTTGAGTTAAAAATCTACCCAAAGTATTTCAGATCCTTGCCGGTGCTACAGAGCCGTGCACTGTGCTGAGCTTCTTTGGACTCAGACTTGAGTTAGAAGAAGAACGGAGAACTTATTGGTTACCACCCTTGTGCCATGATGTTGATCCGTTGTTCACACGTTGTTCACACCAGTATTACCCTACTACAGTTGTCAAAATCAACTTATTCTTCTTGTTTTCTCTGCCAGTAGTTTAAGGATGTGAAGGCCACAGCCTTCTATGAAGGCTGTGGTGTGATGCCTGTCCTGCACTGATCCATACAGTTAAGAAAGTCAGCTTAAAGTTGTCTGCTAGGAAATTATTTGCATTTGATTTCAAAAGCTCTTTTATCTAGGCACGCTTGACAAAGTGTCTTACAATATCAGCGTAGCAGTTAGATACAATGATGTGTGGAAATAATTTAAAAAAAACAGATGGCAGTAAACTATAGAAAAGCTTTAAGGAAGCATTCTATTTTTTGTTTTTTGAAACTTTTTTGTTTATTTGTAGAAAAGCTTTAAGAAAACGGAAAATTCTAATGTTTTCTATAGAAAAGCTCTAAGAAAACAGAATATCATCATGTTCCCTATACAAAAGCTCCTAGAAAACATAAGATCCTAATGTTCCCTATACAAAAGCTCTAAGAAAGCAGAATATCATAATGTTTCCTGTAGAAAAACTTGAAGAAAACAGAAGATCCATTTTTTCCCCTGTAGAAAATCTTTAAGGAAACAATTATATTTCCTGCAGAAAAGCTCTAAGAAAACAGAATATCCTAATGTTTCCTGTAGAAAAGCTCTAAGAAAACAACATCCTAATGTTTTCTGTAGAAACCCCCCCTAAGAAAATACCTCCCCCCTGTAAAAACCAAGAAAACAGAAGATCAATCCCCCTAAAAATCTTTTATGTTTCCTGCTAGAAAAGCTCTAAGAAAACAGAAGATTCTAATGTATTCTGTAGAAAAGCCCCCCCACCCCTCCCCCCCCCGCTCCACCTCCCCCAAAACCAAACAGAATATCCTAATCTTCCCTATACAAAAGCTCTAAGAAAACAGATCTTAATTTTGTGTGTAGAAAAGCTCTAAGAAAACAGTAGATCCTAATGTTTGCTGTAGTTAAGCTCAAAGAAAACAGTAGATCCTAATGTTTGCTGTAGTTGAGCTCAAAGAAAACAGTAGATCTTAATTTTCTGTGTAGTTGAGCTCTAAGAAAACAGTAGATCCTAGTGTTTGCTGTAGTTGAGCTCAAAGAAAACAGTAGATCCTAAAGTTTTCCCGTAGAAAAGCTTTGAGAAATCAAGATCCTAATGTTTCTTCTGGAAAATCTCTGAGAAAACAAGATCAACATTTTTTTCTCTCCAGAAAAACTCTTAAAAACCTCATAATGGCGTCACTTTGTTCCACGTGGCTAAGTCAACAAAACCCCAGTTTTCATGATCAGATAGTAGGGACACAGTTAAGTGTTTGTTCTGTTTGTATTTAGTGATTAATTACCTTACTTAACAAGTTTTTGTCTTTAAAAAAAACTGAATACTAAAATTATTATGAGGTAATGAAGTGATTTAGCTGTGGACTTCATGCTTGGCTGTCTGCTTGATTGTCTAGAGCCAGCGTTCTCAAACATTTTTCGATGTGGCACCATGGTCGGGCTAAAAATAAATTGCAGCACAGCTACCCTTAAAGCTGTTAAATACTTAAGAAAAGAAAATGCAAATTTAATGTTTAGTTGTCTTTAATGTGATGAAGGAAACTGTTTGGAGGAATTGTTCATTATTGCGGCAGAACCCCTGGCATAGGCTCGTGGTACTCCAGGGTGCCGCAGCACCCAATTTAAGAACCACTAGTCTAAGGAATGACCCCCTGGAAGTTTATGAAAACTACATAAGACTTCAAATTTATTCGGCTTCTTCTTTCCTTCCTCTAGTTTGTTAAGGTAGTATTTTAGAGAATTATAAGGATCTATTGCTTTTCCACAGAATTTTATAAAAGATCATTTTTAAAGATTCTTTTGTGATGAAAGGTTTAAACACTGATCAGAATGACCTTCAGATACCCTGTACATGATCACTGACTGAGAGGAGAAATACACAGTTTATATTTTTATTATGATTATGGCTGTTCTTTTGATGAAAATGTAACATGGTTGTGTGGGAAGTGAAAGCATAAACAGAGAATTCCTGGTGTGAGTCCAAGAGGACATCTAAGATGTCATGAGACCATGTGGGCTTCCAGGATGGCATGAGACTGTGGGCTTCCAGGATGGGATGAGACCATTTGAGCTTCCAGGATGGCATGACACCATGTGGGCTAGCATGGCTTGAGACCATGTGGGTTTCCAGGATGATATGAGACCATGTGGGCTAGCATGGCTTGAGACCATGTGGGCTTCCAGGATGATATGAGACCATGTGGGCTTTTGGGATGACATGACACCATGTGGGTTTTCAGGATGATATGAGATCATGTGGGCTTCCAAAATGATTTGAGACCACATGGTTTTCCAGGATGATATTAGACCATGTCGGCTTTTGGGATGGCATGAGACCATGTGGGCTTCCAGGATGGCATGAGACTGTGGGCTTCCAGGATGGCATGAGACTGTGGGCTTCCAGGATGGCATGAGACTGTGGGCTTCCAGGATGGCATGAGACTGTGGGCTTCCAGGATGGCATGAGACTGTGGGCTTCCAGGATGGCATGAGACTGTGGTCTTCCAGGATGGCATGAGACCATGTGGGCTTTCAGGATGGCATAAGACCATGTGGGCTTCCAGGATGGCATGACACCATGTGGGCTAGCATGGCTTGAGACCATGTGGGTTTCCAGGATGATATAAGACCATGTGGGCTAG